CCAGTACTTTTGACAAAATTCTCTGATTTCCTCGACTTGTGACAACTCTGTAAAACTTAAGAACTAATTTGGAATTAAAGAGTACATTTTATACATATTTTGTTCAATCGAGTATCCCAATGCTCAATAACTCAAAAACTCCTCAATACATTGGGAGACTCAATTTTTGTGGTATGCATCATATTTAAAAATTAACATAATTCATTCGTTCAGAACATTATTAACATTATTATTATTTCCATAGATTTTGATATTTCAAAGAAAAAATATTAACTACAGTAATAAAGAAAAAAAGTATATGCGGGCAATTCCACGTGAGATTTTTGTCGACCTCTTAAAATCTGCCAAAAATATTATTTTCTATTCTGTGTCGAGAAAAACAGATACGTATTTTTTTATTTTTGTTTAATTGTCCAAATTTTCGAGTTATGAATTTTCGAAATTTTGGACTTTTAATTGTAGACCTATACTCAGTAGCTTATAAGTCCGAAAACATGCCAATCCTTAAATCACGATTTTTTTGTAAATACAAATTTTTCAGAAAATTAACAAATATACCATTCGAAAAATTATTAAATTCTACGATTAATGATACATAACTGAAAAATTTAATAATTTATACAAAGATTGCAGCAATCGACAAATTTGACAAAAAAATTTTAAAAATAAAATTTTTTTTTAAATTTTGTGAACCTCTGCATATTTTTTAAAAATTGTAGAAAAAATTCAAAACTTAAATAGGTGTGATCATTCAAGTCTCATCTTTAATTTAAGACCAAAAAAGTACAAAAATCTTAATCGGTTCGTGAGATATCATTCTAAACGTCCGAGCATGTTTTTTGACAAATGCATTGAATTAGTCGATTTTGAACGGGTTTTGGCTGAAAATTCTCGGCCGTTTATAATGATATCTCACTAACCAATTAAGATTTTTGTACTTTTTTGGTCTTAAATTAAAGATGAGACTTGAATGATCACACCTATTTAAGTTTTGAATTTTTTTTACAATTTTTAAAAAATATACAAAGGTTGAAAAAATTTCAAAAATAATTTTATTTTTTTAATTTTTTTGTCAAATTTGTCGATTGCTATAATCTTTGTATAAATTTTAAAAAATTTCAGTTATGTATCATTAATCGTAGAATTTAATAATCTTTCGAATGGTATATTTGTTAATTTTCTGACATTTGTATTTACAATAAAATCGTGATTTAAATATTGGCATGTTTGTGGGCCGTGCGCGTGCCGCCGTACCGATAATTCCCGACGGTAGTGTAAAGTATCCTGATTCTTCAGATTAGATGTATTTAAAAAGAACTAAACATTGTTATTTAAAAAAAAAGAAGTTTTCTATTTTCATTACAAAATTAAAACAAGAAATATCAAGAAAATTTTATAAATGAACCAGAGACTTCCTAATTGTAAAATAATAAATTAATACAGTAAAACTTCGAAGTTGGTACAGTTGGATTTCGAAGGACCAAAAAAACTTTCCGATATATGTAAGCGGGAAAATTTTTATGTATTTGAAATTTAAGGGACCGAAAAAAAATTCGTGACCGAAGCAGAAAATATAAATGAAAAGGTTAGATACAGGAAAGTTTTACAGTAGCCATGTTAAATAAATAGAGAATTTTATATCAAGCAGAATAAAAGTTTCACTAGTATTATATCTATTCAACATATTACTAAAATATTTTAAGTCAATTAAATGACATATCCCCTAATAATAAGCATAGAAAAATGCGTAGGGTTTGCATGGACGAAATAACAGGAATGTATCATTCCGACCGTCATGTAAGAAATGTAAATGGAGGAAAATTCACAAAATAAGTAGCAGTAGTTTATTATTTTGCCCGTTTAAGGTTTCCTAATTAATTTTTATATTACATTTCATTTAAGAAAAAAGAATTAAAAACATGAATTGTCATACTTCTTTTTATTAAAAAATTTTAACGACAGGAGCCTTCGAAAATAATAATGTTACAATAATATAATATAATTAATTACCTTATACAAGCGACATAATATATCACTGCTGCTTTTCGATATACCCAACTCAGATATTTTTCATGACATTGCCCACAAATGGGCGATATATACACTGTTCCTAAAAAAGTACACAGAGATTTTTATGCTGCCGAATGCCAACTGTCAACAAGATATAAAGTTTTGTCTTGGTAAGTCCAGAATGTAAACTTATTAAACGTCGACAAATTCATTTCAACGCGTTATTGCATCGCTTTTTTAACCTAAAATTGACATTCAATTACCATCATCCTAATTTTTTGTCCAACTTGGTGAAACTTTTATTTGTTGGCGGCAGTAATGTTAAAAAAGTTTCTCTTGTACAGTTTCGACCAGTAAATAAATCTTCTATTTGAAAAAATAATTTACTTACTTCCCCTTTTGCCTTCATTTTACAAGTTTTACAATCGCACCTTTCAATCAAGAAAACAAAGAGGTTTTTCTTTCTTTTGGTTAAATGGCCTCTGGTCCCAGTATGGAACAACTACACTGTAAAAAAGCCTAATGTAAATTTACAACGTGTAATACGGAAGCGCCTATACGCCACTGTAACCGAATCGCGTATGTGTGCATAAAGTGCAGAATAGATCTGTAACCGGAACCGCAATCGTAACCGTAAGCGTAAGAATGAGTTAGAGAAGGATAAACAATATACCTATCCTTCTTTAACTCATTATTACGGTTACGCTTACGATTGCGGTTCCGGTTACAGATCTATTTTGCGTTGGCCTTAAGGTACAAATGCAAGAATTGCGTGCGAGGGACCCCCTTAGGCTAGCTGAAATTCCCTAGAATAGAATTAAAGGCCAACGCAGAATAGATCTGTAACCGGAACCGCAATCGTAACCGTAAGCGTAAGAATGAGTTAGAGAAGGATAAACAATATACCTATCCTTCTTTAACTCATTCTTACGGTTACGCTTACGATTGCGGTTCCGGTTACAGACACTGTAAAAAAATCTGCTGTAAATTTACTATGTCCGACGTTGGAAAGTTTGGTCACTATGTCCGACGTGGTATTTTTACACGCCGACTGTAATCTACATAACCTGCAAATATTTTTTGAAATAATATTTTCAGTCGTAACTTTTTGTATTTATGAAATATAGCCCAAAACTTTTTGTTATATTATTATTTACTTATAAATTAGCATATACTTTCTATAAATGTACATTATATACACTTTTTTAGAGTTATTTATAAAAACTTGAAAATTTTTTGAAAATCTTAAAGGAATAAGAAAATTACATTCGCCATGTAATTGTACAGATCGTGCGACGTAATATTACGTCAAAGTGTAGAAATACACGCAATGTAAAAATACCACGTCGGACATAGTGATCAAATTTTCCTACGTCGGACGTAGTAAATTTACACAAAACTATTAAATTACATAGTCGTATAATGTAAAATTATTAAAAATAGTAAAACTACTTTTGGAACGAAATAAATTTACTACGTACAACCTATAATTTTGATGTGTGAAATTACAAGTTTCGTGTTATTTTACACCAGATTTTTTTACAGTGGATCTATTCTGCGTTGGCCTTAATTGCGAGCGTGCCTACCCCTTAGGCCGCAGTCCCATGGCAGCGTTTTGCGTTGCGTTGTAATAAGAGAGAATGCAGCAAACGTATATTTGCGTCTTTTTCTCTCCCATTACGACGCAACGCAAAACGCTGTCATGCTCATGGGACTCCACCCTTATGCTGATTCCACACTTACCCAGTCGCTCCGCTTTTCCGTGGCGCTTTGCGTGAGACAGAAAAAGATAGAGATAGTCTCTGTCTTTTTCTATCTCACGCAAAGCGCCATGGAAAAGCGGAGCGCTGGGTAAGTGTGGAACAGGAAGGAAGAGTAAGGAGACCGAACTCTGCTTCTACAAATGTCTGAGAAATATGCACGAAAAGTGCCAGACTCACTGTGTTCTAGTTGATCACCAATTAAGTCGATCATGCGCACTGAACTAAAGTTCAGTGTTGACATAGATGAAAAGTGTGGTTATGTCAAGGTAAATATTATATAGTTTAAGCAGTGTTAATTTTAAAAGCAAATTTATTTATTTGCAATTGTGATATTATTTAGATTTTCAAAATAATAAAATTTAATAATATATTTATGAAAAGGGAAAAATTTTGCGAAAATGGTTAAGAAGAATTGTGTTTATAACTAGAGTATATTTACATACCGTAGAAGGATAGAAGAGACTAATGTTTTTAGACTCTTTTTCTTTCTTTACATCCTGGCAGACAACACGACATTTTTTAAATAAAATAAATAAATAATTATTAAAACGAAATGTATTGTATAATTATGTATGTATCTCACTAAGACCGGCTAAATGTAAACATTAGATCTTACATCTCACTCGCACAATTTTTACGAGAAACAGAGACACAACACAGCTTATGCGCATGATCAACTTAATTGGAGGTCGACTGGAACGCAGTGAGCCTGGCACTTTTCGTGCATATTTCTCTGAGATTTTTAAAGCGCTTTCTACACAGAGTTCGGTCTCCTTACTCTTCCTTCCTGGTGTGGAATCTGCCTGCCTGCAGGTTGTCATGGTAACGTACAAGAGTAAGAGAGTCAGTGACTTCAAACTTCTCCCTTACTCTCGTTGCTCCTGCCTGCGCAGGCAGGCAGCCTGCAGAGGTGTAAAGTCCAACGCACAATAGGTTCGCGAAGGTCATTCGCGAACGAAACGCATGAGATAAACAAGGACACAAATATATATCTCTGTCCTTTCCTAACTCATGCTTTGCGTTCGCGAACGACTTTCGCGAATCTATTGTGCTTAGGCCTTAACCGCAGCCTAAAGTCCAACGCACAATAGGTTCGCGAAAGTCGTTCGCGAACGAGACACATGATATAGACAAGGACACAGATATATCTCTGTCCTTTTCTAACTCATGCTTTGCGTTCGCGAACGACTTTCGCGAACCTATTGTGCTTAGGCCTTAAGTCCAATGCACAATTCTAGTTCGGAAAAGTCGTTGGCGAAGCAGTTATAGATTGTATGTTTTGTTTGGAACCAACAATATAATATTATAAAGGATATACATATTACTTTTAGATACGAAAAAATTGTTTTTATGTTTCAAACATTATGGGCGAATTTATTGCATCTAACAACGTTAGTGGACAAAATCTGCTTCGCTTGGTTTCTAGAGGAAATGCAGTTATTGCAGAATTAATGTGTTTGAAGGATTATATTCCTTCAGTTTATAGGTTAGTTTAAGGGTTAAATTTTTTCTTGTGTTGGATGAAAGTAAATCATTTTGCGAATTATTATAAAAATATACCATTAAAAATAATTGATCCATCACTGTTGAATTTAAGAAAAAATGTTAATTTACAGAAATACAAAAATTTCAATTTAAAGACGTCTGGTTTTAAGATATTTGCTGTGTCGATTCGTTTTCGTCAGATTTTTTTTAACGCTGTGTCTATTTAGCCCGCTAGCGGGATGAATAGTGCCAGTAAATTATTTAACGCTGTGTCTATTTAGCCCGCTAGCGGGATGAATAGTGCCAGTAAATTATTTATCCCGCTAGCGGGATACAAGTAATCACGGTAAGTTATTTAGCCCGCTAGCGGGATAAGTAAGGATTATAGGCTATTTATCCCGCTAATTTAAAAAAATAATAAATATAAAGTATTTACTCGCCTAGATACATGGTAAAAATTGGTAAGTCTATTAAATATTAATTATTTAATTTTAGCAAATGAAAGATAATAAATTAATAATAAATGTTATATTCTATTATTAAATATTATATTATATTTATTTAGATATAAAAGCTGTGAAAGTATTTATAAAATTTTATAAAAATGCAACTTATGATTTAAATATATATTAATTTCTCAAAAGAATTTTATTATTTACAAAAATAATTGAGCGTTTCGGTGCAATAATCGGTCTTGCCTCATAGCATCCTGCCGGCGCAAGACCGATTATTGCACCGAAACGCTCAATTGAATTCTTGACAAAAATTTTACAATTTATAAAGATAATTGAATTGTTTCGAAGACTTTTATATCAGAATTGTTGAAAATTATTGAATTTAAAAAATATTTTTAAAAATAATTGTATTCTTTCGAGAAATTAATTATTAAAATTAAATTGGAAATAATTATTTCTTTGAAGGGTTTCAGTATTCAAAAAATATTTTAATTCTTGCAAAGAATTTTCTTATTTATAAAAATAATTGAATTCTTGTAAAGAATTTTTCAATTTCGAATTTTTATAAGAATTTTATTGAAAATTTTAAAAATAATTATTTTTTTAAAAGAGGAGATTTTTAGAAGTTTTTCAAAAGTCAGGGAATTTTAATCGAAAGAAAGGACAAATTTAAAAAATTTGATGAATGTCAATGTAGTTTTTGTATTTAGACTTTTTTGTGTAGGTAATTTTTGATAAACGGACTTTGGCCGTTTATATAAATAAATAAATATAGCTCATTAAGCACGATTTTAATTGTAAATTTGGGGTGTGACTTTTTTCATAATAAAAGTTTCAAACAAATTAAAAATTTTGTTAATAAGCAATTTTAAATTACATTTTGCTTTTCTTTATAAAAAATAAAATAGTAGGTACAAAATATTATTTAAATAAAAAAATCGGATTGTTTTGAGTTTTTAAAAAAAATTATGATTTTTATCAGCCATGATTATATTATGTATATTCAATTTCTTATATTTCATAAAACAAATTAAAATTAGAATATAAATTATATTTAAATCATAAGTTGCATTTTTATAAAATTTTATAAATACTTTCATAGATTTTATAACTAAATAAATATTTACTGGCACTATTCATCCCGCTAGCGGGCTAAATAGACACAGTGTTTTTTTAAACTTGATAATTAATTTTTACGAATAAAGCAAACTTTAAAGAAGTATAATTACTTCTTGTCTATTATGAATTGTGTTATTTTTAATAGTTATTTATAAACAAAGTTCGTAATATCCAAATACGTCAGTTATCGGCAGGGATGAAAACTGATAGCCTTAGTAATCGGCAATGATATTTTTATCTATTTTACTGCATAATTACACTGCAAAAAGACATTGACAAATTTTCCTAACGATGATAATTTTACTTTGGAAATTCTTGGAATAACCCTTCTTTTAATGCAGGCAAAATATATAAATATTCCAAGTGAAAAAATACAAAAGATTGTAATATTTCTCTTTTAAATATATAGGTACACTGAAAAAAAATTTAATTGAATCAAATCAAAATTAATTGACTCAATTAAATGATTGTCTATTATCCAATAAATATTTATTTGAACCAAGTATAAATATTTATTAGATCTGAGTACTTTATTTTAACATATCAAATAAATATGTATACATTTGTACCAAATACGAATTACTTTTAAGTCAAATAAATGTAATAATTAGATCTAATAAATATTGCTTTAAATCAATAATGAAAATTATTTGATTCAATAATGCATAGTTTTTAATTCAAGTAAATATTTATTCGCACCAATAAAACAAGTTTTTTGACGTAACTAAATATTTATTTGTATCAAATATGAAATATTCAATTATTCATCATAATTAATTTTTTAATTAAGACTAATATCCTTTTAATTGAGTCAAATAATTAACTATTTAGTCCAAGTACAAAATTTATTTGCATAAAAACAAAGCAGTTTTGGATTCAAATAAATCTCAATTTGTAAGGTGCCTGAAGTTGCCATCGATGCTCAGCATCGAAAATTTTTCATCAGACCATAAATTTTTTTTGCATTTTCGTACTCAAGTAGGCACCCAATAAATACCTACCAAGTTTCATCCCATTATCGATAGGGGAAAGTTGTCAAATCAACCCCTAAATATATAATAAAGTTCAAAAAAATAGGAAAAAATTGTTATTTATAAACCAATAACGAGACCATAAATTTTATTGCATAAAATTCATTCACTCGATGCCCAATGAATACAAAAAAATTTTGACCCCCATATTGATAGGGGAAAGTTGTCATTTTCAACCCTTAAAATTAAAAAAATCGAAAAAAAATTAGAAAAAAATTTATTAAAATTGCAGTTTTCCTTTGACCAGCGATTTTCTTTTTGCATATTGCTTCTACACATTCCACTAATAAATAAAAATAATTTCATAAAAATTGAAGCCCGGAAAACTTTAATTTTTTGCCAGTAAATGAAACTTTTTTCACTTCCATATAGGTAAAAAAAGTTATAAAAATAATAAAAATTCAAATTTTGTACTATCGATTCTACCTTGGAAGGGACTCAAGCCTTAAAAACATCAACAACTGAACCGACATGGAAAATTATATTCGATGTCTATATAAATTGCAAGTGTAAAAATTTCAAGATTTCTTATTATTTTTCTAAAATTATTTGAAATTAATATGAATCTTGCTAAAATTATTATATTTAATATATTTAACACATATTTCTATTATTTGAGACAAATAATTTGTATTTATACCCAACATCCATTTATTTGAATGAAATAACTAAATTAATAGTTTCAAATAACTTTATTATTATCGTTTCAATAAGTGATTTATTTGATAAAAATTTTTTTTATTTGTTTTTATTAAATACTTTATTAGCATTCAATAATGCTTTATATGCATTAAATAATTTAGTTTACTTGAAGCGATAAAATAAATTAATTGTGTCAAATAAAGTTTATTTATATCAAATATCCAATTACTTGGGTGAAATAAATAAATTCAAATAAATGTGATTCAAATAATTCAAGTTATTTGAAGTAAATAAATATTTATTATATCCAAATAAAAATTATTTGAATCAAATAAATATTTTTTAAATAAATTGAATTAATTGAATCAAATAATTTTTTTCAGTGTATTTTTAACTCTACGGTAATTTTTACTCTTTTAATGGGGGGCGTTAGGTCTAAACGGTGAAAAAAAGAATGTTTTTAAGAATTTTTTTGGCGATACGCAGAAAGTTAATTTATTTTATCGCTTTGCATATAATATTGCAACATTTGAACAATATTTCTCTAAATTTTAATTAAAAAATATTAATAATTGGGCGAGATAATGAGATTTTCCTCAGGCGCCTCCAAAAAAATTGATTTGCCGTGTACACTCAAGTTGCAATAGAATCATCTAAAACAAAAAAATTAAAGTGCATTTGTTGAAAGAGATGTTTTTTGAGGTAACGCTGGGAGGAATTTTTTTGTTATTTGTCGATTTTTTGTAACACTTGAAAGCCAAAAAGTCGATTTTCGCTATAAAAAAATCGATTAACTTGTTATATTGTAAAATTGGCCATTTAAAAAAAAGCTCAAAAAACATCTCCTTTAACAAATGCACTTTAATTTTTTTGTTTTAGATGATTCTATTGCGACTTGAGTGTACACGGCAAATCAATTTTTTTGGAGGCGCCTGAGGAAAATCTCATTATTTCGCCCAATTATTAATATTTTTTAATTAAAATTTAGAGAAATATTGTTCAAATGTTGCAATATTATATGTAAAGCGATAAAATAAATTAACTTTCTGTGTATCGCCAAAAAAATTCTTAAAAACATTCTTTTTTTCACCGTTTAGACCTAACGCCCCCCATTAAAAGAGTAAAAATTACCGTAGAGTTAAAAATACACTGAAAAAAATTATTTGATTCAATTAATTCAATTTATTTAAAAAATATTTATTTGATTCAAATAATTTTTATTTGGATATATGTAATAAATATTTTTTTGCTTCAAATAACTTGAATTATTTGAATCAAATAAATTTTAATTGGGTCAAGTAAATAATTAATTGACTCTAATTCGTATTTGGTACAAATAAATATTTATTTGATATATGTTGAAATAAAGTACTCAGATCTAATAAATATTTACTTGCTTCAAATAGAAATTTATTGGATAATAGCAATTAAACCATTTAATTGAGTCAATTAATTTTTATTTGATTCAATTAATTTTTTTCAGTGTGGGAAAACTTCCTCAGACCTTATTTTATACAATATAATATACCTACTAATAATAATAATATATTTATTCTGCTCTATAAAATATTACATTTTGTAGCAGAAGAATTTCGTTTACAATATATTTGATAATATCAGCCTTTAGATTTTTTCTATACTACTCATTCAACATGAACGCACGCAACAACAAACTACCTGCCGATATTTAACACCCTGACGATCACCAATACATTTACCTTATTTATTGGACTAAAATGAGCTTCTGTAAAAAA